TGTTTTTCCCTCGCTCTGTTTCTCCTTACGTCGCTCCTAGAAAATCCGACGCCGTCTCCGTCGTCGACACGTTACCTTCTTCAAAAACCCGATTTTTCTCTACGCCGCAAGTGGGTCCCACCACGGATCAGTCGTCGTCGTCGTCGGAAAAAGTCTTCGATTCAGGAAGATCGTTTAACAAGAAGAAACGCAGCGGATTATCGCGATTCTCTACCTTCTTCAGGACGAGATCTGACGATTACGATTCGCGTCGTGGACGCGATTCATGCGACGCTGCTGCGTTTTCTCCATCGTTGTCTTCTTCGTCTTCAAGGTCATGGCTTTCGAAAGTTCTCTCAGTCCGATCATCGAAAAAGCAATCAACTACTACTTGCTACATAGAGGATTTAATAGATCATAATCAAAATCGACCAAGGCAGAGATTTTGTAGAGGAATGTCGCCGGCGGGAGATACATCGGTGAACGATTACGACCGTGAATCAGTCGAGGAACAGAGAAGAACTCCGGCGATGGGAACTCCGGTAAGAAAAAAGACGACGATGACGAGTGCGATGGGGTCTGGTATGGCTTTTTGTTTGAGTCCATTAGTGAGAGCTAAACCCAATTGTTCTACGAAATGGAAAGGGAAATTTCCGCCGGATTTTGGATATTCCGGTGAATTAAAGTCGCCGGCGAATCCTCATATTTCAACGGCGGCTTCTTTTTGTGCAAATCGGTCTAAGAAGCTTGTGGATTTAGGACGAGTTGATCATCGCCGTTGAATTTTTTTTTTTTTTTTAGAGGGTCAAAATCTGACCGTTCAATACAAAATTACCTAAAATACCCTTCACATGATTCATATGAAAAAAAGTTATATATATATGGTGGCTTTAGTATACCAACAGATAAAGAGTGAATTTTAATTTTTTTGGTTTTATATTATTATTATAATGTTTTTCTGATTGTACATTAATGGAGGAAATATTTGTTTTCTTATTAGGAGATTAGGAGAAAACAATGTCGTGAGTTCTTCTTTATTCTTTTTTGATTAAATTTTTGTTGGGTGTATAAATCAAAATGACAGATATTTTAGAAGAAAAAAAACCTATGACCAGTTCATGTCAGAAATGTAAATTATTACAACTATTTTGAATTTTATTTCAAATCTAAAAAATCAATTCTTGTGTGAGTAATAAATGTGACACATACCCTTGTGTGTTCCCTTAATCTAGAAAAACAAATTCTGACAAATGAAAAAGTCAAAATTAACCATTCACAAATACAATTTGCTAGTCTTCACTACACCTATCATAAAAAGCTAGAACACAAAATTTGGCATATAGATCCAATAACATAGGTCTCAAATTTCGACAAAAGATTACGACTTTTTAAAGATCCCAAGTACCATCTAAATAGAGTTTTAAAAGGTTTTAAAGAGTAAAGACTATGAGTTCAATTAAAAAAATATATATACAAGGTGGGTCCAAATTATATTTAAATTCCATGGGTCCACTAGCCGTG